CGTTCCCCCCCCCCATCATCATCATCATCATCATCATCAATCTCCCCGTACAAACCTCTCCTTTACCTTACCCACCACGCTACCACCCAATCAATCATAGATCCTCATTTATCCATTTATTTATTTATAATTCATTTTTCTTATTCATTTGAAATTCTTGTAAATTATCTTTTTCGACATTTCTTTTCCGAAATATTCTCTTTTTCAAAACGTTCGGAAATATGTAGAATTCGTTATTCTTTCTCGGCATTTCTTCCAAGAAATTCGAAATAATTTTAATGAATTCTTTTCCGAAATTTTTGTAATTCGAAAATATTTCAGAATTAATTAAAATCTTTTTCGACATTTCCTTTTCGTAATTCGAAAACAATTTTAATTACTTATTTTTAAAATTTTTTGGTAATTCGAAATAATTCAGAATTAATTAATCTTTTTTTCCACATTTCTTTAAAATTCGAAACTAGTTTTAATTCATTCTTTTTTGAAAATTTTGAAATACGTTGGAATTAATTAAATTCTTTTTCGATATTTCTTTTTTGAAATTCAAAAATAATTTTAATTAATTCTCTTTCTTGAATATCTTAATTCATAAAATTCCACTTTTTTATTTTTTAAAAATTTCTTGAAATTTGAAAACGCCATGTGATCAATTCTTTTTTTTCCTTTCTTAAAACTCGGCGATATTTTAGCATTATTTAAATCCTTTCTCAAAATTTTCACGTTCTTGCAAAACCATACCCCAAAATTAATTTCGAAAAATTAAACCCAAATCGGAATTTATTTTTCTTCGAAATTAATTATCTGCTTTTCCCTTTTTCCATATTTTCAGCAAAATTTTTCGGAAATTTTCGTTTTGCAAGATTCTTCTTGAATTTCTTCCCAAGGTGTGTTCTGGAATTAACCTTGAATAACATTAATTAATTCGAATCGGAATTAATCCACTTTAATTTTGCAATTTTTTTAATCTTCTTTTGATGCTCTTGTAAATAGGAACTCCCCCCCCCCCCCCCCCCGGGGCATGCCACGCTCAATCAGGAACTCTCAAAGCGCAGCCGCCGAAGCCGCCGCTGCCGCCGCGGCCTCCACCTCATCTGCTGCTAGCTCCTTAGCCTCCGCTACCACTGCTCCCTCCCCCACCATGGCCCAATTATCCAGCATTGATATGTCTGGCATCCGCACCGACCCCGTCGACAGCATCGCCCGCAACCTCGCAGGCGAGCAAACACCAGCACCCGATGCCACCATTGACCTCGCGGCTCGTTTTCGCATGATGACATATCTCCAGCCATCCATCAACGACATCAAAACATCCGTTTCCACCATCTCTGCTCGTGTGACCACCATTGAAAGTCACACCCCGGCCATCCAGGTCGTCGCCACCATATCCACCCCCCCCCACCTCGGGTGCCACCACCCCCATCCTCCACCTCCACATCTACACCAATCACCCCGTCCCCCACGTCCACCGCCCTCTCCGCTAGCACGTCATCTACACCTCCGCCTTCATCCACCACTACCTCCACCTTGGTCACCAAGACGACAACCCCCACCGTCACGCAGTCATCAACCATTCCCTCCTAGTCAAAACCCCTCATGACTTCATCCACTATCACTTCCACCCATACCCAAATCAACCCCACACCTCAAGCCTTGCTCCCCGTTATCCCAATACCTCCTCCGTCCACACTCCTCCCGACCAATCCCACTACCGACTTCACCAGGGTACCGTCCTCCTCACCCAAACTTGATTTCAGCACCCTCGCCACCACAACACCCTTAACGGGTAACATTCCCCCATCCTTCCGGTCAATGGATATCCCCCCCTTCACCGGCCTTCCCCACAAGGACGTCTTCGTCTTTCTCAGCAAACTATACGATGCCTTCTCACTTTACAACGTCCCTGTCACACACTGGCTCCCTACTGCCAGCACCAGGCTATAGGAAGGCGACGCTCGTTGGTGGTACACCGAACGAGCTAACCGCCAACACGCAAACGAGGAACCTCATTCCTTCCTTCAGTGGGCCAATCTCATCACCTGCACATTCTGACCACAAAAGACGATCGATGACTACTTTGAGCAACTCTGTCGTCTTCGACAGGACGGCCCGACTGACCGCTTTGTCCAATACATCTGTGCGTTGCGGCAACACATCCCCCTTGACTACGTCAGCGATCCCTCATTCATCTCCCGCTTCAAACGGGGATGCCGCTTGGACCGAGCCGCCTCCCTCGTCCACGACCCCCCAATGTCCCTCTCTGATCTCCTCAACCGTGCCATTCACCTCGACAAATTCCTCACCCCGTACAAGGACGCACGTACATTCTCCCCACCCTGCCCACGATTCTTTCATAACATCACCGACGAAACCTCTCTCTCTGCCTCCTCGGACGAATTCTCTGCCCCCGACCCTGACATCCTCACCGATTCCCTAGACACCACATCACTCTCCTCTGATGAACTCTCCGCCATTCACCTCATGTGAATGGAAAAGAGAGAACGCTCTAGCCGCCCTCCCCCGACCACCCTCCCGAACCGCCTCAAGAAACTCACACCCGAGGAAAGAGCCCACCTTCGGGCAAAAGGTAGATGCTTCCGGTGCCGACAAATAGGCCACCAGCAAACCAACTGCCCACTTGTTAGACAATTCACACGCCATCATGCGACCCTCCAACCCGCTACTTCTGCATCCGCCACTCCAGCGCCCTCCTCCACTTGAACATTGTCCCCATGGTCGCCACGCACCCGTCCCGACATCGACGACTAGTTTGTCGGCCATCCCATCGGTGACAACCTCCACCCCACCGGTGGCCCATTTGGCATCGACAATACGTCTACCTCCCCCCTCTCCGGTGTCGCACATCCCACCGGACGACCCGCAGGTGTTGCAACCCTCGTCGCCTGACGCCCCCCTCACCGCCATATGTTCCGCAACCGTCCTCCCAAATCCATTGTATGTCACCTTCTTTGACATTGTTGAGGAACAAGCCCGACTCGATCGGCTTGTCCGATTAGGCAATGAACAACGCCGCCTCAACACCATTATCTCCCACCGCCAACTCGTCACGCTTTCACCTCAAATTCATCGCCCCCACTCTTGGTGCGTCTACAACTAAGTTTCGGGCCCTCCTCGACATTGGAGTCACTGGTAGCTTCATCACCGACACGTGTGTTTGGAAAATGGGTCTCACTTCTACCGGTTACGACTCCCCGATTATGATTCACTTAGGGGACAAGGACACCGTCGTCGTAGTAGACCGCACGGTTCCCGAGACTACCATGACTGTCGGAACCCTCCGCAGTCAGGTCTCATTCGATGTCATGCACTTAATGTGCGACATCGTTTTGGGAACACCGTGGCTGGACCGCTACATGCCATACTCGTTCTACCCCAACTTCATTTGTTTTACCAACCCCCCTGACACAACCATCGACATTCCCTATCTCCCCTATCCCCCTTCCCCAAGCTCTGTCACTGCGCACCAATTCCTCCACATGGCTCGTACGTACCCTAACTCCACCTACTATTGCCTTGTCCTTGATCACGAGCGTCCAGAGGACTTGCTCCCAATGGACAAACCCGACTGAGTCCCCCGTTCCGACCCCGCCCTCACCTCCGTCCTCGAAGAGTTCAAGGACGTATTTCCCGAGTCCTTACCCGCCGGATCACCTCTGGATCGTGGCGTATCCCACACCATCGATTTGGAGCCCGATCACTCTCCACCTTGCCGCCCTCCGTACCAACTCTCCGTTCCGGAAGCCGAAGAAATTAAGCGGCAGCTCAATGAACTCCTTGAAAAAGGATTCATTAAGCCAAGTTCATCCCCCTTCGGCACAAGCTGCCTTTTCGTCCAGAAAGGTGGAACATTGGAACTCCGGATGTGCACAGACTATCACGCCTTAGAATTGGATCGCGATCAAGAACAAGTTCCCCTTACCTCAGATCTCCAAGCTTCTTGATCGCCTCCGTGGAGCCAGATATTTTACCAAAATTAACCTCCGCAGTGACTTCCACCAGATCTGCATTCGCGAGGAGGACACTCACAAGACCGCATTCCGTTCTCGCTTTGGGCAGTACGAGTTCCTTGTGATGCCCTTCGGACTCACCAACGCCCCCGCCACATTCCAATCCACCATGAACCACATCTTCCGTGACCTCCTCGAAGTTTGTGTCGTTGTTTACCTCGATGATATCCCTGTCTATAGCCTCACCTTCGAGTCCCACCTTCAACATCTCCGCCAAGTCCTTTCTATCCTCAGAGAGCAAAAATTCTACACCAGGCTCAACAAATGCACCTTTGCCGCTTCAAGCGTTGAATACCTTGGCCACATCGTCTCCGCTGAAGGAATACGCATGAACCCCTCGAAGGTCACTGCCCTCATCGAGTATCCACCACCCAACACCCTCCTCCAACTTCACTCATTTCTCGGCCTTGCCAACTACTACTGCCCTTTTATCCGCAACTTCTCCGAAATCTTGTACCCCCTCCACGAACTCACCTGCAAGGATGAACCCTTCACTTGGAGCGACCGCCGCCAAAACGCCTTCGACTTCCTCAAACAAACCATCACCACGGCCCCCGTCCTCAAGATCGCCAACCCCTCTCGATATTTTTACGTTACCACTGACGCATCCGAATTCCCCCTTGGAGCCGTCCTATCCCAGCACTTCCCTCGCGACACCTCTGAAACCCTCTTCATCAAAGACTCCCCCACCCACCCCGAGGCTTCACCCGACGAGTACCCCATCGCCTTCGCTAGCAAGAAGCTCCTTCCTGCGGAGATGAACTACCCCTCCAACAAGAAGAAACTCCTCGCCGTGATCCACGCCCTCAAAGTTTGATGCCCGTACCTTGACGGGCAACACTTCACCATCCGCACGGACAACACCAGGCCATACTTCACCATCCGCACGGCAACACCATCGTCTCCTCCATCCTCACCAAAATAGGACATCACACCGCGCCAAGCCCGTTGGTTGGACTTTCTTGCCGAATTCACATTCACCATTTGCCACACCCTCGGCAAAAGCAACCACGTTGCGGATGCCCTCTCTCGACACCTCGACTACAAGCTCTTTGAGAAAGTCTACGCCGCCATGACTCATATCCAACTCCTACCATCGCTCCACCGCTACCTCACTTGCCCGGATTTCTTAACAATCTACAACAAACTTTGTGACCTTGACTCAGTCCCCGACTACTCCCTTCACGACCAACTTCTTTATCTTGACACCAAAGGCACTCGCCGACTTTGCATCCCCGATGCACGTGGCCTCCATACCCAGCTCTTGGCTGAGCACCACGACGCCAAGACTTCAGGACACCTCGGGTTCCCGAAAACCTTAGACACCATCTCTCGTTACTTCTACTGGCCTTCCCTACTCGCCAACGTCAAAGCCTACATTCGCTCATGCCCCACATGTCAAGCTATCAACACCTCAAACCGCGCCAAGCCCGGCAAGCTATAATCATTGTCGATCCCCACCCACCGGTGGCAGTCCATTTCCATGGACTTCGTATGTGGTCTCCCCAAGACCGACCGTGGACATGATTGCATCTATGTCATTGTTTGCCGCTTGACTAAATGCGCCCACTGTATCCCTTGCACCACATTGCACAACGCCAAGGACATCGTCATTCTCTTCTTCGATCACGTCGCACGCCATCACGGTCTCCCCGAGAACATCATCAGCGACCGTGACCCTCGTTTCCTTTCACAATTCTGGAAACACCTCTTTAAAGCCCACGGAACCACGCTCAAGTATAGCACTGCATTCCACCCACAGACCGATGGACAAACCGAGAAGATGAACGATACTTCTCCAAAGAATCCTGAGGAAGTATTGTCATCCACATCAACACGATTGGAATCAGTTGCTCATCGCCGTCGAGATCGCCTACAACAATGTTGTTTGTCCTTCCATTGGCATGACTCCATTTTACCTCGACCTTGGCTATCATCCGCGCTTGCCCGTCGATTTCCTGCTTCCCTCACAACTCAACCCCTCCACCCCCTGCCCTTCTCTCAATGAATGGGTAGCAACAATGAACAGACTCCTCAGAGAAGCTACCGAAGCCCTTGAAAGAACACAAGAACAACAAGCCAACAAGACTAACAAGCACAGACGTGACGTGTCAATGAAAAATGGCTTGGTCCCTTCCCCATCATTGAACAAACCTCCCCCATCAATCACAAGCTCCAACTCCCCCCTGAAATGTGTCGTGTCCACCCTGTCTTCCACGTAGAATACCTAAAAGAATACCATGAATCCCCACCCCAACCCCCACCAATCATGTTACCCACAGGCCCTGAATTCGTCGTCGAAGCCATCATAGGACGAAGAACTACTCAGGTATCTGACCACTCGGAACCAATCACAGAATACAAAGTTAAATGGATAGGATACCGTGACGAAGAATCCACATGGGAACCTCTTGCTAACCTTAAGAATGCTATGAAACTTGTTCGCGCCTATGATCGCACCCATCCTATATCCTAGCTACCCCCTATGTCTAAACCCTGCCCCAACCCTGCCTCCCTGCACTACACACATCCCCTGCACCCAGCAAACCCCTTGTCCCTTTATCTCCCTCTGTCTGATCCGCTCTTGCCTCCGTCTCGCCCGGTTCTCCCATCTGTCGTCCGCCACATCCTTGTCTCTCTTGTCCAAATTCTCTTTGTGGCCCCTGCGCGTCGCCGGCAATAATGGATCTAATGGCAAGCGCACGCGGATGATGGCATGCTGCAGCTCAGTACGAGGAGATAAGACAGCTGGTTGGCAGCTGGTTGGCTACCATGCTGTTCCCTTTGGCCGGCACCTTGTACTCGCAGACTTCTGGAGCAGCACCTCTGACATGGACATCAAGATCAGTCTGCGACCTGCTATCCGGATCAGACATCATCATCAGATCGTGTACCGGACGCAACCTGCTACTGCGACAATCAAGCTGAAGTCCTCGCCGTCTACATCACAGAACTGCTGAAGACTGTTTCCTCAGCGCCACTTCTGTGACACCCTCCAAGACCTTCCTCAAGACATTTCTTCGCTTTTGACACTTTGTTACAGACCTGAGACGTTCTTTTCCCAGACCCCTCAGACACCCCAGCACTTGAGCATTGAACAAACAATTTTTTTTTTTTTTCCCTTTCTTAAACCTGACAACCTACAACCCATTAGAACACCAATAGGACCTCCCTGTTACCTGTAGAACCTCAGTAAGATTACCTGGTTACTCGAGCATTGATTCCCTCATCCCTGTAGAACCTCAATAGGATTACCCTGTTACTTTAACATTGATTCCCTCATCTCTGTAGAATCCCCATAGGATTACCCTGCTACTTGCATCACTCCCCCTTTCCTTTTCTGGCCAGTGATCAGCCCCGCCCCGTCCTTCACAGTTGTTCATTGGGTCTTTGGCGGCCGGGACGTTGCCTTCCAGAGGGAGGGGATAGTGTTACGGACCCAGCCAGGGCTCGATCCCTGGTCTGCGGGTTACCACCCGCCAGGCTGTTATTCTATTTTTTTTTGGAGTCTCTGATCTCCAGTTCCTGAATGTTGGCGCCCTCTGCAGTTGGCGCCCGTTCTCAAATCCCGCCTCTGCCACTTTTGGATTTCGTATTTGGCGCCATCCGGCATTCTGGCGCCCAGGCTCAGACCTTCGATTTTCAGTTCAGCCCCGATGCAAATTGCACTTTTGCCCTCGGGCTCAACTTGAGTCCGGTACTTAAGACCGGACTCAAGCTGAGTTCGGGGACTCAGTTTTCGGCCTCAGTGCTTGTGCTTGAGTGTGGCTTGCTGCGACATTGTGTACAGAACCAAGATTGCGACTTTGCCACTTTGTGTCCGTGTCCGTCGAGTCATGTCGAGTCCATGTCGAGTCGAGTGTGTGTGTGTGTGTGTGTGTGTGTGTGCTCTCACTCGCTCCCTCTCTCTCCCCCGACCTCGCTGCTCTGCCTCAGCCCCGTCACAGGTGTGCTACAAAAAGAAGCTCAAAGGGATTAGAACTATACACCTAGAGGAAGACAATTTTTTAGCGGTGAGACTTGAAATTGGGCCGATGAGAATCCAAGGACTGCAACCAGCACTGCATGTCCCATCAGTCCCAAGTCGGCTTCAGGGATCCTTGTGATCCTAGCATAGAGGGGCTGTTCAGTCAGTCCCATGTAGAGTCAGCCTAGAATAGGGTCCATTAGGCTAGCTGGGTCCAGTTTGATCCCCAGGAAAGTCAGTGGCCTGGGGTCCCAAGTAGGCCAGTGAATATTCCGGAAATCTCAAGGGTAGAGAGGCCCAAGCCCGCAGGGTACCAGGTCAATCGAATCTGCAAGCCAGTGGTGAAGCGTCACATATGAAACCACATCAGCTGTTGGATTAATAATTCATTCCATTTGAGCTTGTGTGAAAGCGCTGCTGCACCAAAGAGTAACCAAGTGATGATTGAAGCCGTCAGAGAGAGATACGAGTCAGCTAGTAGTCAGCTATTGCTGGGTGCCATAGCTGTTGATGTATGATAAATAGAAGAGAGAGAAGCCTGAGACCTTACGGTCGTGCTAAGAGTTAAACTTGTTGTTTGGGCTGGCTGCCGTAGCTACCCATCCACATGTACACCGACATGTCTGCATTGGACAGGGATAGGAGTCCGGAGTTGCCCATAGGAGTGGGCTCGGGGAAATGATTGTGAGGCAACTTGAGTTCCATATCTTTGGCGGCTTTGGATCTAATCTCGCATTGTGTTCTGGAGTGAAAGTGTGCAGCTCAGATTGACTTGTGATGTTGTTCGATGCATGAAGCTTCGGCGCATTGAGTAGAAATATTAGAAATGACTGTGCCCGCATAGAGTCAATATTGTGTCTACTGACAAGGTGATCTCAGTAGCGCGGAATGGGATGTAAGGAGTGGGGAGAAGGAATGATCGTGATCAGAAACTTTTCCTGCAAAAAGGAGCATTGTACTCTGGAAGATCCCTGAGCAGTGATGCCTGCATGAAGAGTCTTCTGTGTGGCCATGACACTGTAAGTGCAGGCTTCAGGGGGAGGAGTGGTAGAGGGGTAGAGAGTGGGAGTGGGGAAGGTGGTGGTCAGGAACTGTTTTCTTACCAAAAAAACATTCTACTCTGGAATTTGATCGAGTAGTGATGGTTCCATCAGGCGTCTTCAGTGTAACCATGACATTGTAGCTGCCAGGCTTGATGATAGCAGGTTGACAGACGATCTGGTTACTTGTAATTGTTTCAATCCCACAGGGATACTCCTCAATCTGAACAATGGTGGAATCAATTGAGCCGAACCCACCTCCCGAGATAGTCAGTTTGTCTGGCCAAGCTGCCCTAAGCGAAGGAGGCCCAAAATTGCTGATCCAAGGCACTGCAGAGCTCACAACTGACATAGACGAAAAGCTCGCCACTTCTGGTTCCCCTGAGACAAACTGCATGGAAATTTCAAGCACTGCAGATGTGGTCGGAATTGTTGGACCAGAGATGCAAACCATTGAGGTCCGAACAACAGTTGAAGGCAACACCCCACAGGTGACATTGTTTATCTTAACTGAGATCTTCTCAGGTGGTGAAGAGTCAAAGCCAACACCTGAAACCGTGACCATGGTGTTTCCTTGAGCTGAAACGGACCGAGGCTGCACATCTGTCACAGACAGCACTTGTGCATACACTCGGGTATTGGAAGGTGATCCGCTGTTGACAGCAACCCCCCGTCCATTCACAGTAACAATCACACTTGATGGACCTCCCTTTGCATCGGGTGACAGCTTTGCAATGATATTTGTAAAATTTGCTCCCAGCACCTCTGCGGCAGCACTGCCAATCAACACCTCATTCTCACTGGGAACAGCAGAGAATCCCGACCCTGAAATCACAAACATGTCACCAACTCGTCCTTCGCCTGGGTTCACTGTGGAGATTGTTACCCCCAATGACGAGTTGTAGCTGAACTGGCATTCTTTGTCTGACCTGCATCCATGATTCCATATGCATCATACACCATCACGTATTCCAATTTCCAACTATTGAAGCAAACGCAAGAAAAAGCAGAAAGAGCCATAAGGAAATGCAATCCTTGGTCGAACAAATTCTACAGCTGGGGGGCCAGGACCTGGTGGCTGAATGGTACACACATGTAACTGTTTGGACAAATCTGGAGTTTGATCTGCTTACACAACCACTTTTGAGAGATGCATCGGTAACCAAAGGCCAACTGTACCCCAGCAAAGAAAGTGCCCCATGATGCAATCAGCTCTTAGGCAATTGCTTCTTGGGAATGCATGATTAACAGAAAAGAATGGTAATCCATTGAACCTCAATATGTTTGATATGGGATGGGGGCATTGGCTGGAGAAAGGAGTTCGGCAAATAAAACATCTCTAGAATGACCAAAAGAATACACGAAAAACAGAGAAACGGTTGAGAAATAAGCTGAAGGGGTGCCATAGTTTACAACATAACCTGAGCTAAGAATGGAAAGCGGGTGAGTGGGGAATCCCAATCCAGGACACCTCCCCTGAGAGGGCCTACCAATTCTCCCATCGAATATCTGGCTCAAATCCAAGAGACGTATTCACATCCTTACCGATATTGAAGACTAAGCCAGACGAACCGTACATCCAGAATATCAATCCCGAAAGAGAAGTTCTGAATGCGTTCACACTCCATAAAATAAGAACATTAGGACTCTGGCCAAAACAGATATTTCAAATAGGGACAGCAATTCAAGTCCTCGAGTTCGATCCCTCAGAATGGGCTTGGCCCTCTGACCGAAACAGAACTACGAAACCACCAATCCCAACATCTGATTATACAGTTAAACTAGGGTATAAAATGTTGTTAAAAACAAAGGACCCAGACCCAATAATCAAAGGAAGATGGTGCAAGTTAATTGGTTCTGAGGCAGACCAGATAGCAAAAATTCCATGGAAGAATATAAAACGATAAGACCCATAAAAATCAGAAGCATGCAGTGGCTCATAACATACGTGGCACTACCTGTCGACCAGTGGCTACATGTGAGAAGGAAAAAGAACGATCCAACCAGCTCGGGTGTCTGCGCAGTCTGCTCAGACCAGGAACAGGAAGATTTGATACACTGCCTAATTAACTGTAAAGAAGCCACAGATTATTGGGCAAGAGCAGCAGCCCTATGGGACAGTCTTTTCTCATCTCCCCTCCCGGAACACCCCCTTCATGCTATGGGCCATATGGAAAGAGAGATGCAGCAGAACTTTGGACAGCACGAAGAACCCGCGGGAGAAAGTATGGGCAGCGACTAAAGAGATGATTGAAGCAGAAATCCGCTGTCATTGGAGGAAGGTCAAACTGTGGGTGCAGAACAATCCAGAGTCAGAACAGGTGACTTTGGCCAAATTCAAACGGGTCTGGTTGGTAGGGGAAAAAGTGGCATGGCTAAGTGGGCAGGTTTTAAGATGGAAAGAGTGGCATAATTCGGTTAAATCTGTTTCTCAGCAGAGTACCCAGGTTCAAGAAGAGCCAACTCCAATTTGGGCCTAGAAGAGCATCCAAGATACACGCGGGACAGACTGCAG